ATTAATGGAAATCGTTTCCACGCACGTTCGAACATTGTAATAATAACAATGGCAGCATTTTTGGTGACTTTTTTTAATTGGCGTTTTCCTTTCGTTTAGCGAAATTAGTCGACGGTATAATATGTAAGTACTGAATCTTTATGTTTGTAATTTCGCTATATTCCCCCCCCCCCAACAAGGTTTTCCTTCTAAAGTTTTTCTGAAAAGCTCCACAACTCGCATTCATATCTTTTTGTTTCGTTCATATAAAAATGCTTCGATGTTTGGAAAAGAACCGATGCTTCCAGCTTGGTATAATTTGGGTTGAGCTAAATTAAATTTAGTCCTACAGACTGATCATGCTTATAAACAAGTAATATGAAAAAAAATTAAGTCAATTCCCTTCTTAGGTCAACAAAGACAGATTTTATTTTAGTTACTTTTTATTAAATAGTTACAATTAATATAAATATATAGATATACATATGACAGAATTACAATATTAAGTGCCAAAATAGAAGGTGATTTTCCTTACAAAATTTCCCATTTCTATACATCGTGTTGGACTATTTTTGTTTGTTTGTTACTATTTATTCATTAATTAAATTTAATTATTCTAATAAAATAGTATAGTAAAAAAAATCACATTCTCAGAAATTAGGCCATCCCAGGTGGGATTCGAACCCACGACCTTTGGATTAGAAGTCCAACACGCCTATATATTGCGCTACAGCGGACACGACGAAAGATTTTCTTTTCTATATGTGCTGTCGGACTATTATTTTATTTGTTGCTATTTATTCATTTTTTAATTAATTAATGAGCTAATATTTGAAAGAAAAAAAAACAGTATTAACATCAAGTGTCATTCACTACAAGTTTTAAAAAATGAATTTGAACTTGAATGGATGAATAGAAAGTATTTTATTAACGATAGAAAATTTGAACAAGATATATATATATTATATATATTATATATATATATATATATATATATATATATATATATATAATATATATATATATATATAGGGAGAGAGTGAACTAATAGTAGGAACTGAAAAAAAATGCACCATTTGCTCTAATAGCTTTATTTTTCGTAGAGGAGGGCTAACCTTGCTCTTCAACTCGATCTTGATACTAATGTTACCTTCAAGTGACTATTTAAAGTATTAACACTCCCTGGTTTTGTGGGGATGAAATTATTTACAGAGATCTAAATAACACCAGTAAAAAAAGTTTTTAAACATGGGTTTTTTTTCTTCAAATTTCACACTTTTGCACGACATAATTTTTTATATCTTATATTTTAAGAGTGAAGGGAACATTGAGTCAAATTGAATTTATTCAATAATTAGTTTTAATAATCTTTTTTATTATTTGACGTTTATTAAATTTATCATCTAAAACAATACGTGTAAAAATGTTTAGCAACTGATAAGAAAAAAAAAATATAATATATTTTTTTATATATATATTTTAAATTTTCTTTTTTTCAAAATTTTTTTAATTTTAAATTAAAATTTATTTTTTATTATTTTTTATTTCTATTTATTTTTTGATATTTAATATTACTTTTCAATAAACAGCAACAAAAAATAGCAAATCTTGCGTAACGTATTTTTTAAATTTTACAAGGGGATAGTTTATTTTGCAACTGTTTCATGTTGCAAGCAAGTGGAAGCACGAGTAAAATTTAATTCTTTAAATAAAAGTTATAATTAATTAATTTTATTGTTTATAGTTAGATTAACGTACTGCTTCCCAAACAATCATATATAGAAAATTTCAGCTCAATTGAAAGCTTTAAAATGTGAGAAAAGAGCTTTTAAAGTTTTAACACAAATAGTTTAGACCAAATGACAACCCATTTACACTGTGAGTAGAAGAAAATCCATTAAAATAGAGAATCAAACCTTTCTTACACTCAAAAGCAGCCAGAAAACTCTTTCGAGAATTACCTACATTCCAATGTTTTACTTCGAAATTTGTTCACAACGGATCCAACATCACCAAGTATGAGGAGGCTCCAAAGAGCAATCTTGAGCCGATCAATTTAAAACTTCCTACAACATAAATACTCAGAATTTTTAGAGAACCACAGTGAATCTAATTCATCAAATCCTATCCAAAATCATTTTGATCGCACTCTTCAGGGACGTCTTAAGGTATGCGCCAACTGGGCCCTGGCCAGAGCCTCGGAAACAATGGGGGCCTCGCAATCTCCTTCTCGATGGCAATCTCCTTCTCGACTCAGCCTTAATAAGATCATGATTCGAATAATTTAAGCGGCTAAATGTTATTTCCGTTTGATTTTCCAACAAACTGGGAATTATGGATGATATGTCAATTGATTACATGTGAAGACCGTCGTCAATGTATGGCGTAGGCCTACCACCATACTCCATCATTACCCATTCAGTCAAAGGCGGCAGTCGCTCGAGCCGTGTGACGGGGCTATCCGCGAGAATTTATTACTAATCCTCTTGGGTAACTTTGGGCCAGCATTTATTCTATTTTACAGCCTCTTCAGGAAAACACGAGATAGTTATATGCTAATTAGTTCGACTATATAAAGTCTAGATTTCGTAAATGTGTAGAGAGAAGGAATTGCCAACTACATGTAAGTATCGTCGGCGGATTACTTCAACGAGCTTAGCGCGCATTTGATAGTATTTGATATTATAAAGTAAAGTACTAGATTAATCATTAAAGGAATCAAAGGAATTAGATTCAGTACCGACCTGAGGATAGCAAGAGTTCATCTCCTTGTCCGTTCTGTTAGTTGAGATAACTTAGATTTGAATGTTAGATTTGAGTATCAGGATTAATCTAGGTATTAGAGAATCACTCCGAGGTTTCACTTATAAATTGAACTTGTGCTTGTTAATTGTGTTTGTCTGTCAACAAATAATATTTGTTGCTATGGCTTTTGTTGGTGATGATATGTTTCCTCCTACACTTAGAGGCGCGTCGGGCGATGTGAGCTCAGTCCAAGATAGACTGGGACACGACAGCCGGTTAGTGAAATAATAAGTCATACTTATTTATTTGTTTCGGGTTATTTTTTGTACGAGTGTTAGATAACGTATTCAATTTACTGTCTACTTTTATGGGTCATAGTTAGGGTCTACATTTGTGTATGGTTCCAGGTCTACTTTTGCGTAGGGGCCCAGGGCCTCAAGAAGTCTCAAGACGTCCTCCCTGACACTCTTCCACTAGCAAACTTGTGTTAACTCACTTGAACTTTAATTAGCATAAATATGTCAGAAGTTGAATCTATGAAATCAACCAAAGGTTCCTTAATTTTTAAAAAAAAATAATTTGACCTTATTTTACAATTTTGGTTTCCAAAACTTTCGAAAAAACTCTTCCAAGTCTTAATCCGCTAGCTGTTACTCCAATCAAAGAGCGATTATACGTAACCATGCCTCCTCGATTACAGCGATGAGGAAGTGAATCTCTCACAACGACGAAACTAGAGAAACTACCTCAAAGCTTTTGATCCCAGGTAATAAAATCAATAATCTGATAATTTTAAACAAGAAAAAATTTCAAATTACGATACATTAAAATATTTTAACAAAGGATGCTCCAACACCCTCTTTTGTGAGTTATATTTAGCATTACATTTAATACAACAGGGAAAATAAAAGTTAGTTTCTTTGTGCGTCTTACTTTGCAGCGCAATATATTGCAAAAATGTTACCAAAATATTTATTATTTGTGAAGTATAGCTAAAATGAGAGATTTTTTATTATAATATTTACCAAAAACAAGTTAAAATTTCTTTAGTATAAAAAATTCAAACAAAAATCAATACTAGTTTTCTTTTGTTTTTCTTATAACTGCACTACAGTGTAATAATAATAATATGCTGTTGTTGTTTCTTATCCCACTTGATCAAGTACATGAACCCGTGCAGGGCAATAACATAAATATATTGTTAAATTTATTTCACAAAACAACTATTTCATACATTTTCCATTATTTCAGATATACCTACTTTTTCTTATAAATGTAATGTAGCATAGAAAATGTAAAAATTAGCAATAAATTTTAATTAAAATACAAGACAAAAAACTCAGATAAGAACTAACTGATTTCTACCTATTGGTCACACTTGAATTAATATCACTAAAAATATATATAAGAATATTATCGTACAAATTATCAAAACCCACCTTAACCTAAATAGTAATTTAAAAATTGAAGAATATATTTTACTTTTGAAAATCCTCCTACGTATTTTTTTACCAGCTCATACATATAGTACGCCATATTTTTCAATAAAACTAATGAAACTGAATTTTAATAATTGAATAAGTACATGAAGAATAAATAACCTAAACTAAATATACTATAAACAGAAAAAATAATAATATATTTTAATGAATTTAATAAAAAAGTGAATACTAATTCAAATTCGTTTATTTTAAAGCTACAATGTTTGATAATTTATGCAGTAAATATTATAAATCTAAAATCTTAAAAATAATAATAAAATTTAATCTGTAAAACTTTACTTGAAACATTACTTAAATTTTTTAGAAAAATACAGTCATTTAAAATACACAAAATAAATTTAAATTATAATTTTTTTTACATACCTCAATAGATGTGCCAGTAGTAGTAGAGATTATTTGTTTGGTTTCATTTGTAATAGGGCCTACCACAAGAACTACTCGAAAAGTACTTAAATTTTGTTCATTTTGAGAATATTCAATAAGGGCTTTTAAAGTTGTTCCTAAATAAATTATAACAAAATACACACTAGTTATCATAAAGTAAGAAAAAATCAAAAAATAACAATAATTCAAAAAGTTATGCATAGAATTTAATGAAACATACACATTATACAACACATCAGAAGGTATAAAATAGCACAAAAAAAAACACCAGATAATTATCGTGTTATATAAATTAGCATATGTATACAATGAACAAATCGGATGTGTCAGTTTGGTATAGGAAAAATACCTTTAATATGGGGACGAGAAGCAACGCATCACATACAACGATGTGTAATGCTCTCAATTATGTGGTCTATTAAATCTGTAGGAAGTGCGAGTCATTGCTCTTCCAAGGCAGTTGAAAGCGGGACTAGGTCCTAGGAGGGGACTGAGAGCAGCTACGCGTCGTCCTGGAGCGTCCCGAACACGCTCGGTAAGCTTAAGGTCCGGTGATCAAACTGGTCACTGAATCTGCTGAATTGTTTCCTGCTCAAGATAAGCATTCACGATAATAGCCCTGCATGGTCTCACATTATCATCCTGTAGCCGAAAGCATCACCTATTACCCCGGCATAAGGGCGCATCCAAGATGTCATGTCTACAGGTGTGAGCATTATAGCATTTCCACAGGAAAAGACATGGAGGTCTGTGCGTCGACCCAACGAGATACCACCTCAAACACAGACACAGCCTCATCTGTATGCATCTCTTTCACAGATGAGTTATTAATGAAAACGAGTTCCAGGTTCTCTCCAAATGAAAATACGCCTACTATCGCTTTGAGGCTAAACCTGAACTCATCCGCAAAGAGAACAGCCTTTCGTTGATCGCACGTCCAATGAACATGACGGACCCACCAGTGCCGGTTTATTTATTGGGAAGGGCGCCCAGATAAGCTGATTTAACCAGATTTTCTGGTTATAAATTTCGATCCGCCAGTTCCAAGGGGCCTGTAGATCTTGCGACCAGGGCCCAAAATGAGCCTAAATCGGCACTGGTGCCCAC